CCACTTATATAGAAACATTAAAATTGTAATAGGGCTCATTTGAAGTTATCCTTTGCTCCCCTGGAAAAAGACAGTTACTGTCCCAACTAATCTTTCATTTTGCTCCTATTCTCTCAAGGGTCCCTTTTCTATACTATCTGAAATTGTGGAACTCTGAGTCCTGTTGTCTTCTACTTCTTGAAAGGATCCTAGGCTGCTCTCCTAACAGGAGCAATCATCTCCTAAAAGACCCTGATCTGTCCCTTCAAGCAATAATGACCTCCTGATGCCAACAGGGCCCAGCAGAACCAGATAATGATCTATCAGATCATGGTTTGGCTAATACTGTTTGATTATGAATGCCCCGGCTCCCCAGTTTGTTTTTATTTTATATAATGTATCCAGAAAACAGGGGTTAGTATGCAGTTTCTCATGTTCCTTGCTAGTGTAGTCACCCTGAAAAACACTCCTTTCTGGTTTCACCTCTCTCCTCCCCATGCAGCAGATGGCTCAATCTGGTTAGCTGGGAATTCCTCTGGCCTAGGACTCTGGTAACAATCTTTCATTAAACTTTCTGAAAGTTAAGTGGGTTTCAAGTCCAGGGAAGAGTTCATGGAGACACTGGATCTCAGGAATAGTAGCAATGTGTGGAAACACTGTACAGAAGACATGTAAAACACTTCCAATGCTGCCGGCAGCACTCAGGAGGCAGAGGCAGACGGATCTTTGTGAGTTCGAGGCCGGGCTGGACCGACAGCCTCAAAAACAATACAGAGAAACCCTGTCTTGAAAAACCAAAAAAACAAAACAAAACAAAAAAACCACTTCCAATGCTACCATTTTATTAATGACAGTAAGATAATAGGTGTCACTATTAAACTTACAAAAAACTTAAGTTTCTTTGGTAAAAAAGAAAAAGGTTCAGTTACAGACTCAACAATTCTGCAATGTGTGTCATAGAAACAGTTATTAACTAATTCTGTGCTTCGAGTTTTTCTAAATTTTTAAAAGAGAGCTTATTAAAATTTTATGTGTTTCAACTACATGTACAGATATTGACCATGTGTGTTCATGGTGTCAAGTCCAGAAGAGGGTACCTGACTCCCTAGAGCTGGAGTTACAGGCATTTGGGATGTTGGGAACTAAACCTGGATCTTCTACAAGAGCAGCTATGGATCTTAACTGCTGAGCCTTTTCTCCAACCCTTAGTTTTTAAACTTTTAATGTTAACACGATACCTTGTTGCAAAACTGCCATTTAGTAGGTGTTCCACGCAGTGTAAGTATTATTCCCTTTATCAGTAATATTATGCCTCCTAAAAGAAATAGTTTCTATAGCACGTAAGTATTACTGCACTAAAATGGTCACTTGTTCTCTGCCATGCCTCACTTGGTTTTGAGTTCTATGAAATGCTTGGGATGCTTTCCTACTTCTATTCAGTTGCTATTTGTATGTAAGTAATTTATATGACATTAGCTTTCCTCCTGCTACTTTCTTTTAGGCTTTTATTGGACATGTAAACAGGTTTCATACATTTGTCTGTTACTTTGCCTTAAAAAAAAAGAAAGAAAAAGAAATATGCTGTTGCACAATCATTTCGACCAAACCAGTTAAGATATCCAGTTAAATCAATCACAGATGTTTTCTTATTCTTTTTATACTACAAAAAAGTGAACTCATTACTGAATACATCCCTCATAAAACACTAGAGCAAATAAATCAAAGCTCACTTTGCCATGGATAATTATTAGAAATCTTCATTGTTAAAGAAAATTAAATGAGAAAAGATGAACTGAGGTTTTTACTCCACTAAACATGACCCCATTTTTTTTGTGTGTGCAAGAGACCAATGTCTAATGCTTTAATCATTAACTACTTATCAAACATTGGTGGCATATAACTAATTCAGAATACAGATAGACAGGCATTTACAACTTAACATCACCTACCATACTCTTATTAGAACAGTACACATAGTAAACATACTTATCAGGGACAGAATTTTGTTGAGTGAATAAACCATACCAGGTCTGGTTAAAGGAACTGCTGGGCAAGCAAGAAGGCCAGACAGGGTTTAGATCACCAGAACCCATGTAAAATGTTGAGTGGGCATGGAGACCCATGTGGAAAGGTATACTAGTCTTAAAACGTAAAAAATGGGGATCCCTGGAACAAGCTGCATAGTAAGACTAACCTTATCCATAAGCTTTGGATTCAAAATAAACAATGTAGAAAAGCAACCAGGGAAGATTTTAACCTCAGACTTCCATGTGCACAGGCACATATATACTCTCTGACATGTAAACATGCATATACACATGCAAACACACACACACACAGAGAGAGATAGAGAGAGAGAGAATGAGAGTAAATCCATCCAGAGAAGCTCAAATATTGAGCTTTTACCACCATTAGTGATTACTAGCAATGCAGTAGTAAAACTGAGTTTTGATTTCCCCCCAGTAAATAAAAAGAAACAAGTAAGTGAAACAAATTACTAAGTACAGAATTTTAAAAACCACCTGAAGTCTGATTTCATTATTCTAATGCTAAAATAAGAAAAATGAAGTTCCACACATGTATTCCATGCAAAATAATCTTAGGATAGCATGAAATTTATTAGTAAAATATATTTAAAAATTTACTGAATAAAACCCACATATGGAATTTAATTATGATTTAAAAAAAAACAGGCTGAAATCTAAGCCCAACACAGTGTCGAACACCTTTTATCCCACACTCATGAACCAGGTAGGTAGATGCCTGAGTTTGAAGTCAGCCTATCTACAGAACAAATTCTAGAACAGTCAGAGCTACACAGAGAAACCCTGTCTCTAAAGAACCAAGTAACAAAGCTGGTTGGTGGTACACATGGCTTTGATCCTAGCTCTCAGAGAGGTGGAGGCAAGTGGATCTCTGAGTTCTAGTCCAGCCTGGAATACATACAGAATGAGTTCCAGCACAGTCATGTACAGCCATGGCTACACAGAGAAGCCCTGCCTTGAACCCTGCCTCCCCAAACAAAACAAAAAATTGGCTGAAATCGAATACATTCTAAAAATAACATTAAGCAAAATGAAAGAACAAAAGTTGTATTTCAATAAGAGTCCCATTTTATAGCAAAATAAGCCTCCCAAATATGCTATCAAAAGGTAAATTCTAGTATAAGTTGAGAGCATAACTCACAAATTAAAGAAAAACAAACATCATTAAGTTCTTGTGTGTAAATTTTATTTTTAACATAGGTTATAGAGTTGACCACACTGTAAAATATTATTGAATGTCAGAACATACTATGTTTTGGTTATTAATAACTATGGGAAGTCAGTCTTTTTACAAAAAGCACATGTTAAGACATTTTCCTTTACTCTATAACTCAAAAGGCCACTTTAGTAAAATTAATAATTTATAATACAATACAAGGAGTACACATACAACTGTTGAGAATCGAGTTTACAAAAGAAAAAAGATCACTCAAGGAGCATGTAGAAAGCGTATTTTTGTGCAGGGCAGGGGACTAGAGCACACATAGGAGATCACACTACAACAGCACAGACCCTGGTTTTGTTGGACTCTGCCTTCCATTGCTTCAGGGAGTCAGACAAGGCAGTCAACTTTGCCAGTGTTAGCATCTTCTTAGTTTCTGATAAGCCCACTTAAGACCTGTTTTAGGACACCAAAGTTTTACAGTACTTACAAAAGGAAGAACTAAAAACATCCCTGGTTTTATTTTTTTAAAACAGTGGCAGAAAGACTTGCTACTTTTCAGTGCTGAATTCCTAGGTCTCCACGTAGGCTTAGTACATATTTATAATGTATTTACAATGCAACTCTCACATTATCCCTCCACCTGCCCCTCCTCATCCGGCTTCCCCCTATCAGCTGCTGGTTTGAAGCAGAAAGATTGACATAGCACTGCACATATCACACGCTTACGACACGAATCATTTTAAAGGATGCATTTTCAACTAAACGTATTGTCTGCATCAACAAATTCCTCTCCAACGGGTGAATTTTCATTAACATAATAAAAACCAATCAATTTCAGAAACTGAAATACACCCGGCCTATTTTTTGTTTTGTTTGCTTTAAACGTATCCTAATGTATTCCCTTAGGAACAAGAACGCATTACCCACCCAGTGGAAAAAATAATTCTGCTGGTTCATTTCCCTGCTAAACAACAGCTTCGCGATTAGGCCCTACCTAGCCCAGCCTTCATTGTCACCTAGTAATTTTATATTGATCACCTAGGCAGACTCGGACTCTAGCAGGTATAGCCTGTCTAATTCATATTTGGGAGAAAAGAAGAAGAAGAAGAAAAAAAACAACACAGTAAAACTACTCAAGACGAGAAAGGAGAGATCATATGACTTAGGACACATTTCCTTGTCTTCCCTTCCGTGTCACGCAGCTGCTATTTCTCCCCCTTGAATAAAATGGAAGGGAACCAGACACAAACCCCGCAACTGAATCTTGGGACAATGAAGCCCACAGGAAGCCACTCGCTCCTCCCGCGGGTTTACTACCCAGCCTGAGGCTACGTGGGGTGCAGCCGCGGGGCCGGCTGGGTGACAGCACGTCTTCCACGCCCTCCCGACAACCACCCGAAAGGCTCGTCGTCCGACCTCCCCCCACCCGCCTCACACCCCGAAACCAGCCCTACAAAAGGGATGGGCGCCCTGAAAAGCTCGTTCCCTAGCGGCCGAGCAGCCATTCCCTCGACGCTCCGCCCGCAGCGGCTGCCGACACCTCTGGCGGCGGCTGCACAAAGCCGGGAGCCGGCAGGAGAGCACCGGGCGCGCCGAGGGGAAGCCGGCCCGGGGCGTCCGGCCGCAGTCCGTGGGGGAGGGGACGGGCGGGGAGGGCGGCGGCCGCGCGGGGCGACCCGGGCAGCGCCCCTCGGCCTCCAGGCTCGCACTCCAGCCCGCGGGCTGCGCCCCGACCCCGGCCGCAGGAGCAGAGGAGGAGGACGTGGATGTGCAGGATGCCGGGCCGCGCCGACCCCGAGCGCATCACTTACCCCTCACCGCGGAGAGGGACCGGACCGGGAGGCGGGGCGCGGCGCGTCCCGTCAGTCTCTGCCACGCTGTCCTCCCCCCAACCCCGTCGCCGTCGTCGTCGCCGCCGCCGCCGCGGATCTCAGGCCCCCTCGGTTCCGCTGGGCAATAACGTTATTCCACACACGCCCCACACATAGCGGGAACGGCGGCGAGCGGCAGCTCAGTGCGCAGGCGCCTGGCAAAGGGCAAGGAGCCAGGCCCTCTCCCTCCTCTTCCCCGGGCCCGGCGATGCCTCACTGCGCAGGCGCCAGACCCAGACAATGAAAGGGGGCTTTGAGGAGGGTCTCACCCACACGCTCGCTCAGCTGCCCACTGCGCAGGCGTGCCCCCAAGACCCGCTTGAACAATGAAGAGCTGCCCCGCTGGAGTAGGACCGCAACCAACTAGGACTACGATTCCCAGCGGGCAGCGCGCCAACTCCACGCGGAGGGCGGGGCGCTGGGCATGCTAGGAGTTGTAGTGTCCGCCACCTTCACAGTCCGGCGGTTGGGAAGATTTGCAGCTTCGTTTTCTAGAGAAAAACAATTTTGCAGAAATCCTAACTTAAGCAGAGTTTACAGTGAATCCTTGAGAGGGCTTGGAGATCAACTCTACAGCGACCCATTTTGAAGAGTCTAGGCCTTCCCCGGGCCCCTTCTGCCAGCGGGTATCGCGATCCAGGTGGCTGCAGGATGGCAGGACAGCAGAACTAATCCAAGCTGGGCAGAAGGGAAAGGGCGCGGCCTGCCAACCCGTCTCTTGGCAACGGGCTCAGTCCGCTAAACTGCCCGAGTGGCGCCCTGAGCGCGTAGCCCTCTGGGAATCGTAGTGTAGCTGGAAGGCTCATAGGACTCTCGAGGTAGCAGGCTTTGAGCCTGCGAACTACAACTCCCGGCGATCACCATGAGGGCCAGGGGGTAGGAAGAGCCCCCTGGAGCTCGGTCCGGGGTTCCTGGCTCCCTAGTGACAGCAGCGACAGGAAGCGGGCAGGCATCCCCCAACCCCCAGCGCTAGGCCTGTCCTCGGAGGGGTGCACTGATCACTTTCCCGCATAACTCCCATCTCTGACCCCATGGCGAAATCCCCAGGGAACTCTACCCTGGAGGACAGTCTGGGGCAGTACCAACGGAGTCTCCGGGGTGAGTTGCTCCGAATCTCAGTGCCTAGCTCCTAGGTACCCTGGGCAGTAGTGGGTGGTTTTCCTGACACTTTCCTTGAGCACCAGCCAGGCCATGGAGGAAGAAGACGAATGTTGCTCTGATCTTAAGGATAAAATAGTTTGATTTTGGTTGTAGGGTTAAGCAGCGCTGTTACCTCTTTCTTATGGTAACCTGACCCAACAGGGTACCTATGTCTTGATTTAGGTGTCTGTCAAACTTGTGAACATCTCTATGCCTCTTTTACCCTGTTGCCATACTTAGCTGTTTAATTCAATAAATTTCTCATTCATATTTTTTACACATTCAAATTCTGGTTTAATATATTGAGTCTTTCTTAGACCAGAAACAAAGCACTACTAATTATTTGAAATAACATGCGATATTTGTTGGATCTACGTTATTTTCATTATAGCAAAGCATTTAAAACTTTATCTTACTAATGTTCCCATTTTACATGTCAAGAAATCAAAGCCCGGGGAGATTGAGTTCTAGGCCAGAACCCACACAGCTAGATGGTTAGTGGCAAAGGCAGTATTGAATTCAGGACTATTCATCTTTAAAACCTATCTATTCTTATTAATCAAGTCATAATCACTATAATCTCAACCCTATTTGGTTAAGTCACATTTTTCTGAACATAGTGCTAGAGAAATGATTATTTGGACAAGTCTTGTCTATACTTAGTTAGCTCTGTCATCTTGGCAACATACATAACCTCTGGAAACTTGAGTCCTTGTTATTTTAAAGTTGTGGTGCAAACTACACACTGATTTTTGTGGGGAACGAATGAACAAAATAAACAGTGAGCATGAAGCAGTGATTTTTGAGATCTTAAAAAAGTCGTCCATCCATAGCAAGACATGATAGGGGCTGGGCATGACTCAGTATTAGATGCTTGTCAGGCATGTGGAAAGGAAGGAAGGCGAGAGATGGTAGTAAATGTGGGGCATAGAAAGTAATAAAGCCACCAAAGACTTTATTCTATTACTTGTGATGCACTTTTTCCTATTCTGCATTTTTGTAGGTAATGGTCAAAGTTGAAATATTTGAACCATTTGTAACTGGATTTATTCTGCAAATAATAATTGAATGCTTGATTTGGGCTGTTCATACTAGGTTATGAATTTTCAATGAGTCCCTATCGCTGTGGAGTCTTTGGGTTAGTGAAAAAGACAATAAATAACACAATTGTAATTTGCTGTGGTTTCAGATAAGGGTAACAACCAATGTTTGGCACATAAATACTTATTAAGTGTTAGCCTCTAACATTTGCTTCCTTAAAAACTTAAACTCTTTTTGAGGAGACTGGAAAGTTTATTTCCTTTTGAGTCTTGACTTTGTAGGCCTATTGTTTATCGGCTGTATCTATTGGTGGTGTTGTAGATTGTCAGCATCCTCAGTGTTCAAACTATAGGATGAAGGAATTAAATACAGTCCTCAGCCTATCGATAGTTCAAGAGTTGTTGGGTACCCAAGCAGCTGTTTGTAACTTTTTATTTGGAATCAAGAAAAATACTGTGCTTGGAGATATAAATGCCTGGAATTTTTAGGTTATAAGTTTTTCTGAATTTTTTGTTGTTATTGTTGTTTCATCTAGTAATTTTGGCCTTTAGTTAGTCACTGGGGGACTATTTAATATTAATCGTTTTGACATAGTCATGTGGTTGATTTGACTGGGGCAACAGGGAATGAAGAAATGACATATACAAGTCACATCCAACTGGGATGGAATGGACCATGGGCTCAGATGGAGAAACAGCAACAGCAGTTGGAAACTCAGCAGGAGTAGGGGGTTTCTGTAGGGGAGCAGTCTGGGGCTGCTGTCATCTGGGATGAGTAAGCTGTAGTCTGTACTTCCTATGTGTACTGGTGTTAGCTAAAGGTCAGCTGTATCCATACTCTGACCAGGGGAAACCTTGTTATTCTGCAGAGCCTGACCAGGCGAAAGACTTGCCATTCCGATTGGTCTGAGGCATTGGAATCCTTGATATGGCTGTGCTCATGTCAAATATACACATTCACTCAGGATTTCATCTGCTCTCCATAATTTGAGGGGTGATTTAATATTAAGCATTTTGATACACTCATAGGACTAATTGCAAACTAATTTGATAGAAGTGGGTACTTAGCTTGATGGAGTAGGTCTTAACTAGCCTGTACAAGGTCCTGAGTTCAATCCCCAGCACCATAAAAAAACAAATCTTGTAGTAATATATGTAGTAGTGCTGCTACTGCTTCCAGAAATCATAACATGAAGTTCTTATTAAAATAAAGTTAAAATTTATAATTAGTGTGATAGCCATTTAAGGTCAAAACATTTCACCAATGGCAAATGTGAGTTATAGAAAAAAAGATAAACATTTGAAAACAATTAACAATGATTCACGAAGTGCAACTTGATTTTTTCCTGGTTTTCAGGATGTATTGTTTACTGGTTTCTTAATTGTGACTTCTTAATTGTATTAGCATATCCAACAATATCTGGAAGGAAACAAAGCATGATTAACCCTGGACTTGAGCAGAGTCAAATATCAACTACCTCTGTCAGAAAGAATAATTCCCTTTAAAGTAAACTTTTCTTTCTGAATAGTCAAACTGTGGTGCATATTATGTCATTTGTTATGTCAAGAGTGACCAATACTTAAGAGTTGTATTATAAAATGTCTTCCCTAGTTCATGGATACTGCAAGACTAGTAAAGTATTGGCCTTTTATTCCTGAGACTGCAAAATAAGTGTGCATTCATTAAGTGCTAGTATCTCTTCATTTTTATGAAATCCAGCATAGTCAAAGTGAACATATTGCTGATGTCCTGGGAGCCACAGAACTCAATCTGGGACTAGAAGGGATTTTAGAGACATTTATAACTAGGGAATATACAAATGCATCTGCTTCTTCTGCTATAGCCCCCACAAAATTGCATGTTTGAGCAGTTGGCCCCCAGTTGGTAGCACTGTTTTGGAAGGTTGCAGAGTTTTTGGGGTGAGAGTCCCAGCATCACTCTATTTTATCAAGTAGATTGTGTTTCCTAGTTATCCCTTACTTTGTGTTGCCTGTGGCCTTGGTGAGAAGTTGGGGAAGAGACTGTGGCACACACCTGGACTTCTCTTACGTGGGAGGTTGAAGCAGGAGGCTGAGCTCTTTGCTTCCTGGTTGGCTACGGTGTGAACAGGCTGAGAGTGCCTGCCTCCAGAAACTGAAAGGCCACCCTGTGCCACACCAGCCAGGACACATAAGGACATTTGAACTGTGAGTCACAATTCTTTCTCAAGTTGCTTCTGTAAGGTGTTTAGTCCCCACTAATGAGAAAAGTAAGTAATTTGTCCTCCCATCTGTTTTGGGCGTGGCTCTGGGGATGTGGCCCTGCAGTAGAGCAGTTGTCTAAGTGAGTGAAGGGTCTGTTAAACCTCCACCATGGAGATAAAGGAGTAAATCATTTCAGTGCATAATTGCATGTGAGCATGAGATGAAATCAGCTGGTTTACAGCTAAGAGAGTAGAAGAGAGAATTACAGTCAACCCTGGATGTTTTTGTGCTACATATTTGAGCCTGCGTTTCCAGTGTTCGAAAGGAGTGAGCTGCAAGGTAATGTGGTGTCTGTGTGTCCACACTCCCAGAGCCGTGCCCACTCCTGGTACAGCTGGCGGTGTGGATGCAGGGTAGCAGCAGTGCCTTCATTTTCACCCATTTTCACCCGAGCACATGGTTCCTGTCCACCTTTGCCTGAGTGGGCTGACTGTTCAAACAAGATTGTCTTTGACAGGAACACACACTTTCTCCTTATTTACACTCTATGGAGTTCTCCCCTTTCCCTTCAAAACATTGGTGTTTCAGCTTCTAGATGCAGTCTGTGGAGAACATGACAGAATCAGGAGAGAATGTGCGACTAAGAGCCAGATCACTGAACTTCCTGTCTGATTTGCCGATTAGCATCTGTGTAACCTTGGACAAGTTAATAAGTTGGATTTGGATTTCTGCTTCCTTGTCTGTAAAGTTAAGCCTGCACTAGATGTGAGAACTGTTGCCCGGTGAAGCCAGGACAACAAAGTAAGGGACTTAGCTAAGGAAAGGGTAGGCGTGTGCTCAGACTCTGTGCTGTGTGCTTTTCATTCTTTTCTGGCTTCCTTCTCCCCACTTCTTCCTTCCTTCTGCTCTTCCTCTAAGAAAGCCAAGCATGAACACACCTAAGAGCCTAGTGTTCCCTCTGTCACCTGGAGTGCCAGTGACCTGCTCAGGGCTCTGAAGGATGGAGATTGTGCTCATGTGTTAGGAAGTTCAGATGAGTTGAGTTGGTACCGAAAGTGAGAAGGGGACCGGGACAAGAACACTAAGCCTGAGGAAGGCCTTTTTCTTTGTACTTGATGTAGCTGAGAGAACTGGAGATAGTGTTGACAGTGGGTGTTTTGCTTGGATGTAGGGAAGAATTCATATCTGCAGAAGGGTTGTGTACTAACACTACTAGCTGAGGGGTTTGCATGTGTGCCAGCTGGCAGTGATGTCATCAGGACTTTTGGCCCAGTAAGAACACATGTTTATCTTCAGGGAAAGTTTCTGTTTTTCTCAGATTTACTCATAACACTAATATTTCTTCTTTTCTATTTCCATAAATATTTTCTTGACATTTTTTAATCCTTTGCCATGTGTTATTTGTATTTACATGTCTGTAGGCATACACACAGGCACATGTACACTTTGGGGGATGTAAAAATAATTATGAGTATTTTTGTTTATATATTTATGTTTTTAGTGGCCCCTTTGTTTTTTATTTGTATGGTTTTTTTTACTAGAACAAAAATTACTATGTAAGGCATTGTGAAATATGCCTGTCATTCCAATGCTGAGGAGGCTGAGGCAGGAGGGGTTCTAGTTCAAGGCTACCCTGGATAGTTAAAAACAAATAAACAAATCCCGTCTTCTTTTTCCTCTACTAATGAGGTAAAATATGTAAAAGACAAGACTTAACAGCAGACAGAAAGGACG